TTATACTTGATTATCTATAAGTTGAACGTTAGATATTATCGTGTCAGGAGTTACAAATTAATTATACTTAATTATCTATAAAGTTGATGTTAATTAAAAATTAGTATGTTGTATGTTTCAATTAATTATTTATATTATAAGTATGCTTCAAAATTATTAAATATGTAATACATTGCATGTGTCTTTAGAAGATTTTGGAGGAGATGGTGTTGATTACCGTTCCGCTTTCAATACAACTACGCTGTTTATTAGTGATGTGGAGGCTATTAAGGATGCAAAAAGTACGGCAATTATGAATGGTTTCTTTTTGACTATTTCGAAACACAAAAAACCCGGAAGGCTGAAGATCTTGAAGTGCGATCGAGGCGAACGTTATAGAGGCAAAAACGTAGATATGAATAAAGCTGTTTCGAGACATTCAAAAACGAAAGCGTGCCAGTGCCCTTTTGAGATACAAGTAAAGCGTGTTGCCAGATCGACGTACTGGATGATCCACACGAGTCAAGACGAAACGAAGGGATATCATAATCATTCATTTGCCGTGTATCCTGAGGGCCATCGACAGTCGAGCGGCATAAGCGTGTCATCCAAAAAAATTATTCGTGAAATGACTGCTGCGCATGTGACACCAGCAAATATTTTGGCCGCCGTCCATGAAAAAAATCCACACGACCATGCTAATCGGCGACATGTATATAAATATAGAGACTGGTTGCGTAAGGAAAGTTTTGAGGGTAGGGACGTTCCTACCCAACTTCTACATTTAGCAAACAGCAGCAACTACATAGTTTATACAAATGTCGATCCGAATACAAATGCGCTGACACACATTCATGGCCCATCCTGATTCAGTGAGTCTATTCCAGACTTATTATTGGTTTGTCGGCATAGATTCGACGTACAAAACCAACAGGTATTTTAAATTTATAGATATGTTATTAGTATTAATTTAAATTTGTATTTTGGATTAGATTTAATGTGATTATAATTTATTTCTTTTGGTCTCATTTTCACAGGTACAAGATGCCGTTGGTCGAGATGATTGGCATGACGCCGTGCAACAATAACTTTCTAATTGCGTATGCCCTCATGAAGGACGAGAAAGAGGCCAGTTATGATTGGGTTCTCGACAAGTTGAGACTTCTCATAGGCTATACGGTAAGGATTTATATGAAGTACATGATTAATAATTATTAATTAGTATATAAAAGTACTTTGTAAAATATGGTAAAAAAATTTGAGCTTTTTTTGGCGTGTCTCACTAATTTTTGCCGCTGCTCAGGTGCATCCTAATGTGGTTGTCAGTGACATAGAGTTGGGCTTATTGACTCCTATTAGGAGGCATTTTCCCCAATCTGCCCACTTACTCTGCGCGTGGCACATCAACAAGGATGTGGAAAACAAAGTGTACAACCTGTTTGGGAAAAATAAAAAATTATCTGAGAGGTTCTTGCGCGGTCGGTGGAAGTAGATTATGGATGCCAGTACGCCGGATGAGTACGACGCTGTCGTAGCTCAATTGAATGCAAAATACGGGAATGACTCAAAAGTGGTTCAATATCTCGAGCAGACGTGGCTAGGCCACAAGGAGAAGTTTGTGAAAGCCTAGACGAACCAAGTAACACATTTTGGCAACACAACTACCTGTAGGGTAGAAAGTGCCCACTCTGTGTTGAAGAATTGGCTTCACACGTCGACTGGCGCGCTAGATACAGTGTGGCATAAGATTGATAAGGAGATCGAGTCTCAATTGACTGAAATCAGGTACATTCCTCAAATATATTATATATAAGTATAATATATTATATTATAATTTGTTATATTATATTACATAAGTATATTATATTATAATTTGTTATATTATATAATATACTATATTATATAAGTATTTTATATTATATAAATATTGTATATTATATTATAATTTGTTATATATATTATTTTATATAAGTATATTATATTATACTTGTATATTATTATATAAGTATAATATATTATATTATATAAGTATATTATATTATAATTTGTTAGATATAACAAATTGTTTTGTAATGTATTAATAGGACAACACTTGAGTCTTCGAGACTTAGGAAGAGTACGACATATACGGGATTGACTTTCGCGTGCTTGACATTGAGAGTCTCGCATTACTGTCTGAATTTATTGAACGATGAGCTAACAAGGATCGGAGACTTGAGCTATGAAGTTTACTTGCGCTGCGGCTGTTTATTGCCTACCACACATGGAATTCCTTGTGCATGTACGCTTCGTACAACACATGATTCTAAAATGGCGATTGGTATTGACATGATCCACTGAGTTCTGGAAGAGACTAGAGATGTTAGAACCAGGTAATTTGTGGTTAATGTTTATTTATAATTTTCTACTTTCTGATT